AAAAAAAAAAAAGACGTATAGGGTCTTGCTTTGTTGCTCAGGCTGGAGTGCAGTGGTACATTCGTAGCTCACTGCAGCCTCTAACTCCTGGGCTCAAGCAATCCTCCCACTTGAGCCTCCGGAGTAGCTCCGACTCCAGGTGCGCATTCATGTGCCAGCGCACCTAGCCTTCACTGAAGTCATTCACTCAGTGTCTGTGTTCTCCTTCAGGAGAAGTTTGAAGTGCAGCACTCTGAAGGCTACCGGCAGATCTCAGCCTTGGAGGATGACCTCGCACAGACCAAAGCCATTAAAGACCAATTGCAGAAATACATCAGAGAGCTGGAGCAAGCAAATGACGACCTGGAAAGAGCCAAGCGGTATGGTGTGGGGTGGGGCAGGGGAAGGCAGGATTGGGAAACTGGTCTTTCTGCTGTTTGCCTCCAGCGACTCGGTACTGGGCCCTGTGCTGAATACAGGGAACTCAGTGGGGAGCAGAACAAAGCTGAGGCCCTTCTGGCTCTTAGCCCCATGGGAAAAATGGACAATAGTCAAAGAAGTGCAATTTCATTACAGCAGCAAGGCTGGCAGCCCAGAGTCCTGTGGGAGTATGTAATAAGATATATTAATTTGGCCGTTGCCAGGGAGCATCAGGTGAGCCTTACCAGAGAAAATGCCATTTAGGCTAAGACCAGAGGAATGAGTAGCCATGATCCCAGGAGGAGTGTAAGATAAGAACATTCCAGACAGAACGGTGAGCCTGTACTGAGGCCTTAAGGTAGGGAGGAAGCTTGTTCAAAGAACAGTATGTATATGTAGGGGTGTGTGTGTGTGTATGTGTATATATATTTATATATAGATGTTACTATTTTTTGAGATGGAATCTTGCTCTGTTGCCAGGCTGGAGTGTAATGGTGTGATCTTGGCTAACTGCAGCCTTTGCCTCCTGGGTTCAAGTGGTTCTCCTGCCTCAGCTGCCTGAGTAGCTGAAATTAGAGGCACGTGCCAGCACGCCTGCCTGATTTTTGTATCTTTTGTAGAGATGGGGTCTCGCCGTGTTGGCCAGGCTGGTTTGAAACTCCTGACCTCAGGTGATCTGCTCACCTCAGCCTCCCAAAGTGCCAGGGTTACAGGCGTGAGCCAGTGCACACAGCCCAGTGTTTCCTAAGCTGATGTTCTGTGGTTTAACAGAAGGATCACAACTAACATTTACAGAAGAATTACTCTGAGGCAAGCACTTTTTTTTGGATAAAAACATGTTTTAAAAATTTATATATGAATTATGTACAGTGGAAAGCACAGATGTTTTTTTCTTTTCTTTTTTATTTCATTTTTAGAGGCAGGGTCTTGCTCTATTACCCAGGCTGGAATGCAGTGGTGCCATCATAGCTCATTGCAGCCTCAAACTCCTGGGTGCAAGTGATCCTCCTGCCTCGGCCTCCCAAAGTGCTGGGATTACTGGCATCAGCCACCTTACCCAGCTTCCTCAAAGATTGTTTTCTGCCCCATTCTTTATCTCCCATCCATCTGGGACACCAGTTATACACATATATACACAGTTATACCTTTTAATGTTGTCAGATAGGTTTCTAAGTCTCTGGTTTTCCTAATTTTTTTTCTTTGCTTCTCAAGTCGAATCATTTCTGTTTATCCAGTTTCAAGTTGATAGGCGCCTTTTTCTCTCTTCTCCAATTTGCTATTAAAGCAGATGAAATAATGTTGAATTTTCAATATATTGTAGTTTTATTTTTAGATGTAGGATTTGTATTTGGTTGTTCTTTTATAATTTCTGGGTTTTTTTTTCCCGCTTTTTTGAGATGGAGTCTTGCTTTGTCACCAGGCTGGAGTGCATTGGCGCGATCTAAGCTCACTGCAACCTCCGACTCCCTGGTTCAAGCAATTCTGCTTCAGCCTCCTGAGTAGCTGGGATTACACGCATGTGCCACCATGCCCAGCTAATTTTTGCATTTTTAGTAGAGATGGGGTTTCACCATGTTGGCCAGGATGATCTTTATCTCCTGACCTTGTGATCTGCCCACCTCTACCTCCCAAAATGCAGGATTATAGGTGTGAGCCACCGTGCCTGGCCTGTAATTTCTGTTCTTCTGTTGAGGTTTCTTTCTTGTCATCCTTGAGCATAGTTATAAAAGCTGCTTTAAGGTCCTTTTATGCAATTTTGAACATCTGGGTTACTATAGGGTTGATTTTCAGTGATTGTCTTTTCTCTTGAATTTGGGTCACATTTTCTTTTTTTTTTTTTTTTTTTNAAAAAAAAAAAAAAAAGATTGGGGACAACTTCATGCAAAGAGTCATCAACTAAGGCTTAAAACATAAAATTGACTATTTAAATAGAGAAGGCAGGCAATCCAGTAAAGTAAGTGCAAAAGAGGTAGAAGACTACATTGTTTGAAGACATGTTGAGCCAGAAGAGCAATAGCACTGTGACAAAAAAGTTCACTATAGATTGCAGAAGATCTTAAATAACAAATCAAGGGGTGCAGACTTTCTTTTACTCTCATATACTAAATAGTCATTTCAGGTATATGGTGCCCAATGTAAGAGAGAAGGATAAAGACTTTTTTAAACCCAAGTACTTAGTTGTAGGCCTTGGAAAAAAAGTTTTCAGGTAACAAGATAACATGAATAATTTTCTGTGGTTATAAGCTCAAAGTGGTGTATTTAATTCAGTTGTCCCAGAACCACCAAAACCTTGGAACCATTGTTTAACTAAATCTACTAGAACAACAGAATAATCTACTTTGTGGCACTATAAAGTAAAACTATACTGCAGTGCAAATACTTGACATAAAATCCATTTCCAAACTCAATTATTAGGAATAACATAAGCATAAAGTGATGCTTTGCAAACATCATGTAACCTGTAATTCGAGTCAAAAAATTAATAAAATGAAGTGAAATCAGAGTTCTGAAACTACATCTCAATTTAAACATAAGCAAGTTAATATACAGCATTCTTCAAAATCAATTGTTGAAGGTTAACTATAATCTACATACAAAACATTGCCAACTTTTATATGGATTTTCCTTCTAGACATATTTATGCATAAAATAAAAAAATTTCCTGAGTTAAAGGGTAAGATTTGACTATAGGAATACATGCCCCAAATTTGATGGTGGCTTGTTTCTGTTTTTATTTTTATTTCTTAAGCTTAGTATAATGGTTGTCCAGAACTTATAAGCAATGACCTCAACTCTAAGTGGACAAGGTGCAAAAGACCATTTTTTTTTTTTACAGATTAACCACCTGATTCCTTTTGGGAGAGTAATATGTCAACAGGTTCCTGTATTTCAAGAATATAAAAATGAAAAAGATATGTGTAATACACTAAGAAAAAAATAGAGAAAACAACATTTCAAGCAAATTATCCTAGCTCCCTCAATTAACCTTTTAAAACCTTGACAATCCATTATTAATATAAATTATTAATTTTATTAAATACAACACGAATATAATTCATACCATCTTATGCAACTAGGTGGTCCATCATTTTGGACTTTCTACCTCTGGAGAATTGCTCAGGAAATCTGGCTACCATACCAAATAAACCAAATGGATTTAATGAGATGGTTTTTGGTTAGTTTCTGTATTCTTGTATACACATGCATGCACCACATTAATGTGGCACTGTTCAGAGTCAGAAGTGCAAGAGAAAAAAGCAGCTTTCCAGTGTTATTTCATTGTTATTAAATATACAGTATTCAGACGCAAAAACCAAAAAAGCCTGTATATTCAGACTAAAATTTAATACATATGAAAATAAGCATAAAATAACTGTTTTGGATAGTTCTTAGGATACTGCTGTGGCTTAATTTGCTCTGTTTATCTTCTCTCTGCTTTTCTTTATTGCATGTGCTATTTTTGATGTTTTGTTTGACTAATATGTCATACAGTGAATTTACCAAGATCTATAACAAAAGGCACAGATCCACACACTGGACACAACTTTGAGGACATAAGAGAAAAAAACAAAACAAAACAAAAAAACCCCCCCAAAAAAACTAAGTATCACAGAACAGTCTCAACAAAATCAAAGCATGCTTTAATCATGATTTTCAGTTACACCCTGCTTGTCATTTGTGATCACTCAAAACAATAATTAAATTATGTGCTCCAGGAAACAAGAAGTGGATAACCAAAATACATGAAAAGCCCCTACAGTCCCTGTTTGTTCAGAGTATAGATCAGCATTCTTTCGGAGTTCCATTTCTTTTATTATAGGAATGAATACTGGGTTGAACATGCTTATTATGTGTTTTGAGGTAACGTGATGTATGAACACAAATACTGCAGAGGTGTTCCTCTGTGGAACTGTACTTTTTTTTTTTTTTTTTAAAGGAAGATGCCAGTTTTATTTAAACACAAAATGTGCACATAAGCTGTCTACTCATTTTCTTCACTGCACAGCCTGGCATTGGGGTTGGTGACTCTGATGGCCAGCTGGGCAGCTCTTTCCACAATGGCTTTGCAGTTCTTGGAGGAAACATTGTGAGCAATCTCAGCACAGTAATATTTGTTGCACATCAGCACCACTTCCAGCTCCTTGACGTTGTGGACCAGGAACTTCCGGAAGCCACTGGGCAGCATGTGCTTTGTTTTCTTGTTGCTCCCATAACCAATGTTAGGCATCAAGATCTGGCCCTTGAACCTTCTACGAACCCTGTTGTCAATACCTCTGGGTTTCCGCCAGTTACGCTTAATTTTGACATATCGGTCTGACTGGTGCCGGATGAACTTCTTGGTTCTCTTTTTGACGATCTTGGGTTTCACAAGGGGTCTAAGGGCGGCCATGATGCCGAGGAGCGGATCGCTGCTACCTCCGTAGGCAGCGCCGAGGAAGAGAGAAGGGGGGTCACATTTTCTTTACACTCCAAAAGTTAAGGAACTTTGGGGTTGTATTCTAGAAATTGTGAATGCTGTTTCCCAGAGACTATGAGTTTTGTTTTGTTTTGTTTTTTTGAGAGGGAGTCTTGATCTGTCAGTCAGGCTGGACTGCAGTGATATGATCTCTGCTCACTGCAACTTCTACCTCCCAGGTTCAAGCGATTCTCCTGCCTCAACCTCCAGAGTAGCTGGGACTACAGGTGTGTGCTACCACAGCTGGTTAATTTTTGTATTTTTAGTGGAGATGGGATTTCGCCATGTTAGCCATTCTGGGCTTGAGCTCCTGACCTGAGGTGATCTGCCTGCCTTGGTCTCCCTTGGGATTACAGGTGTGAGCCACCACATCTAGCCAGAGATGATATATTCTTTTATGTTCTTGATGTAGGTGGTTTACTTGGTTAAGCTTACACCCCAAGTTCTGTCTCCCTTTTGATGGACAGTAGCTGAACTCTCTGCCTCTTTTAGCCGTAACTGGGC